TAAGTGATATCATGTGGCAATGAATTCATCACTGTGAACCATCTCTATACAAAACCTTTGTTTATTGGGCAATGGAGTAGTGTTCACTCACATTCTCCTTGTATCCTCTTCTGAATCCTATGGGCTTTAGATAGAACTGGGGAAAAAATTCTCCAGGAAAACTAGACCCATGAGGCTCTGTATATAGATTAAGAACCACTCTGTGAGTCAGATTTTTATAATGATCTGCTGTAAACAATTTTTCAGGTAGTTTCAGTTATTCATCTGAAGAATTGCAGCATGAATGTTGTTAATATTTACCCTTTCAGTGCGTGTTTTATTTATTAAACATCCACTACAATTAAAGAGCTCTGGTGGCCTAGTGGCAAGAACCTGCTGTATGATTTGAACCCATGAGAGGATGAGCTATCGCCTCCTGTGGGATTTCCTGGCTCTGAAAACCCGCTGGAGGATCAGCTATGGGTTAGTTTTGACTCGATGCCACATAACAATTAATGAACCAGTTGACTACGGAAGGTACAAAAAGCATTATGCATCCCTACTCTGTCACAATCTTGGAAGGAGGCGTGGCATCCACTTCCGTAATAGCTTGCCTCCGGAAACCCTATGAACCTGAAGAGAGGATGAAAGGCACCCAAGCATCGAGGACTCTCCTTCCTAGGGTCGCTATGAGTCGCCTGCGACTCAAAGGCACTTAACAACAACTCTGTCACAACCTATAATGAATGGAAATGACATGTATAAATGTCTCTTCAGATTCTACCTGTATGAACTTCTCTAAGGAAGTAGAAATCTTAATTTTTATTTACATAACCTGTGCTAAATTCTTCCCTTGACTTTTTTTTTCATTCTGTGGAATACTGGTTTCTCAGAATTAAACTAAAATGTTTTCACATCCTTAGTTTTATCAGATACGCCAGCTTCTACAAGCCTTGGTTTCTTCACCTGCAAAATGGGGATTATAAACTCAAAAGGAAGTTGATAAAATGAAGTGCTAATGTACATCCAGTGTCTGAAGCCCAATCAGCACTTAACAAATGGTACCTTTAACTGCAATTATTACTGTGAATACCACCACATTCTTCCCAGTCATATTTAAAAACAACTCCTTTATTCTTCTCACTCATATGGAATCAATTATTGAGTTTTACTTGCTCTCCCTTGAAAATAGACTTCACAATGTGTTTTCTTTCCTATATATATATTGCCACAATCCTAATCAGGCCTATTTTCATTTTCTCCTTCTCAAACCATTTGTGCAGGAACACTAGATCTTTTTGAAGCAGGCTTTTCTGTTCCCATTTTAAAGACAGGCAACCCCAGTGCCTCACCAGTGTAGACCAAGCAAAGCATCAACTGTCCTTTAAGGTTCTCACACCAAGACTTTTCTAATATTATTGTCACTGTACTCAAAGAGGATCTCTGTTTTTTGTTACATCCATTAACCTTATCCCTTAGATCCATCTCATCCTTCAAATTCACTCCAAAGTGTACATCTAATAATGCTAACAGGATAGTCTGCTTCTCTAATCCTGGGTGAGGTCTCTAGACCATGCCATCACTTCTATAGCATTTATCATATATTGAAATGTATTTGATTAAACGCTTTGGTATTGTGGCCAGGGAATAAAGATAAAATGAACAAAATAATCTTAAACATTCCACCAAACCCATATTTATTATTTATCAATTAATTTAAAAATACATGTACATACATAAACCAAACCCCAAAACTCACTGTTTTTAAGTCCGACTCATAGCAACCTTGTACTGGGTTTCTGCAGGAACTCGGGGGACTAGCCTGTGGGGAGATGTGTTGCTAATTCAAAAGCCACACCTCTCTGGCAGGTTGAACCCACCAGCTGCTCCTTCTTGGGAGAAAGATGAGCAAACTCCTTTCATGGGATTTACAGCCTCAGGAAAATTCCTGGAAGGCCAGCTATAAATTAGTTCCAACTGGCCAGCAGTGAGCGAGGAAAAGATCAACTTTACACCTTTTGAGAGGAGACTGCCCATCTTTCCCCAGAGAAGGGTCTAGTGGATTCAAACTGCTGACTTTTTGGTTAGCTTGATACATGTGCACTCTGCATCGTGACACCATTCAATGAATGTTAGCTTTTATTAGCATTATTCTTGTGTACACTTCTTACTTCCCTATTAAAATGTTTCCTTATGGCACTGACCTCCTTGTATTGCTCATACTTTTTCTAATTTTTTATCATTCAAGCTTCATTTGAGTTTCTTACAGGTTCCGAGCTGATTTTTGTTTTATGCTTTAAGATATGATAACTTCCTCTGCGATAAGGGATATGTTAACTCATATTGTGATAGGTAATCTGAGGATGTAGTTTAGTGCTCCACTTTTGATCAGTGTTGATCAAACGGGTTACAAATCAGGGTATGTACGTGAATAAAACAGTTGTTACTAAGTAAGAGGGCGTTGTAATTACAATTAATGCTCTCTGCTGCATGCCCTCATAGGAAGAAGTGCCAAGTAGCTTGTTAAGAACTGCTTCGAAATGCCTTCATAAGTGTTCCTTATCTTGCCAAACTTGTTTTGCGTAATGATCGGGAAAGAGGCTGGATTGATGAAAAGAATAACATTTTGCTTGGGGATTTCAAAGTACCTGGCAAGACTGCCCTCCATTTTGCAGATTGGGATATCTGAGGTTTGAGTGATTCAGTGCATTTCCTTTGGCTATACTGCCATCCAGGGAGAGGGCTGGCTACACAGTAGAGTGTTCTCTATTCCAAAATACACTGGCCTTTCTTTTCCTGAATAATTGGCCAGCTATGTTTTATCTCATGCACATTGTGACTTTAACCAGTCAGATTTCCTCCCTTGCCTGCCTTGCCGACGAAAATGATTAGAAGCAAATTTGTGGTACACCTTTCTCTTGATTGCATTTTAGTCTTTTCCACTCATTTTCAATTTGAGTCATTTGGTTAAATATGCGTCCTCCGAGCCTTTGGATGTTGCAGACAGTTAAGCCCTCGACTGTTAATTGAAAGCTTGGTGGTGCAGACATACCCTCTCCTTGCATTAAATGCAGTTCCTCTTTGCAACACGTGGGGTCGCTATGAGTCAGACTGCTCAGCAACTTGTTTGGGTTTTGGTTTTGGAAAGACTTTAGTTCTCTTCTCAAACAGAAAGGGCCATGCCTACATAACTGATATTTACACCAGCCACGTTGCCCTTAGACTGACTGAGGCGGACTGTACCGTGGAAAACATACTTTTGGAAAGAGGCACACTTGCACTTGAATTCCAGCTTTGACACTTAATAACTGTGGAAACTTGGACAAGTTATTTAACCTTTCTGAGTTTCCTCTCTGTAAAATGGAAATAATAGGCCATAACTCACAGAGATGTCTAGGGGATTAAATAAGATAATGCATGTAAATTACTTGGTGCATAGTAGGCGTTCAATAAATGTCAGTTCCCTTCTCCCAGTTAATAATGCTTATTAAACTATATTAAAAACGAGAACCAGACTGTGATAATGCATTTCTTTATTAAGTATTTAAGCCAAATAACTAATTTCCCCCAGGGGGAAGGGAAAGAAATGTTGAATTAGTTTCATTTGGTGAACCTATTTCTTAATCTTCTTTTCTTCAGCATTATTTAGTTTCATAGTCCATAATTAGTTTTCATGCAACGAAAATGTCACAGTTCAGTATTCTTTTTAACTTTATAGTGATAGCTATTTTTATCTATTATTATATCCGATATTCATTAGCAATCATTATTAATTTTATTAACAGTTCGATTCGTTTTCATAACTGCTTCATGCTGGCAAACTTTTGTTCTGAGCCATTTCCCTGAGTTGTAAGGATTTAAAAGGCTCAAGTTTTAAGTGGCAATGTTGCAGCAAAAGGAAAAGAAAGAAGAAAAAAAAAAACAAACCCACCCCACACAACCAAAGAAAAGCGGGGACAACTCCAGATGACTGTGGTTTTTTGCGTTAATTTTATAGATTTGCGTTTAAGTGGAGCCACATTTACCTCAAGGACAGAACCTGAGCAAGAGAGAGAGGAAAAGAAAAGCGCAAACTGAGTAAGCGAGCTGGAAATACAGTACCATTGCACCTTTAAGGACTGGAGACTTGGTATTAGCTCAGCCTCCTTCCCGGCCCACCTCTGAACTCTGATTGACAGGGCGCCGGCGAGGAGGAGCAGAAGGAGGCTGAGAGGAGGCGCAGGGAGGAAAGTAAGGGGAGGAGGAGGCCCGTCTTTTCTCGGATGGCCAATCAGGAGAGGGGGGCGTGGCGCCAGGCACCCTCCTCCCTCCTCCTCTCCCCCGCCTCCTGGCTTCCCCTCCCCTTCCCCCCTTTCCTCTGCCCCCTCCCCTCTCCTCCTTCTCGTCCTCCTCCTCCTCCTCCTCCTCTCAGGCTGTGGTTTTTCTGTATATGTTTCTGGAGTCCTGAGCCTGAGCTAAACAAAAGCAGGAGGCTGACGGGGCTGTTGGAGTTTGCAGAGACACGGAGGAGAAGAGAGCCTGTGCTTTGCCTGCCGCCGCGGCTGGGGGAGATCTGGCTTTTGCTACAGCCCACCCCCTTTGAGATCACTCTGGCCCGGAGTGGGGGTGGGGGGCAGCGGGGGGTGGGGGGGGAAAGTTTGCATTGCAATCCCCCTGCCTTCCTCTCCTTTCTCCCGATCAATGCATATTTGCAAAAGGATTAAGCCACAGATTTAAGCGCCGGGAGCCCATTTCTGCCTTGCAAAGGAGACCGGACTGAAAAACCAAAACCCAGCTCTGATTTCTTTTCGCCAAGTGGGAAGGTGGTTTATTTTTCTTGCTTTTTTGGAGTCAACACCCTTCCCCACCAGCCCTTATCCCCACCCTCACCCCGCAACCCCTTCACGCCCCCCTCCCCCTCCCCACTCCCCATCCTCCCACC